GTCCCCAGGCCTGGGTTCCTGGCTGGCTCTGCCCGGCTTCCTGCGCGACTTGGGGCCGTGTCCTGTGTCTGGGCCTCGCCTTCCCCCGGGGGCCACGGGAAGCCCAGGTTGAAGCTCGTGGCAGAGATGAAGGGACCGGACAGTGCTGCCCCCTCTGCCCGGCGCATCACGTGCAGTGTCTTCCTCAGGCCGAGGGTCCAGCCTGCCGCTGAGCTGGGGGCCCAGAGGCCTTTCCGGTGCTCTTGGGCCTACCCCGTGGGCAGCCCCAGCTCGAGGGGACGCCCTTGAGGCGTCCTTGTCGGTTCTTCGCGGGCTTCGCCCTGGGTGAGGGCCCATCTTCAACAGCCAGGACGCGCCTCGTTGCCCGGGGCAGGGCTGCCCCAGGGACAAGGTGTCTGTGACTCTCTCTGAAGGTGGCGGCCAGGCCGTCTGAACCGCGGACGGCTCTGAGGCAGGGCTGCAGCTGCTGTCTTCCCGGTGCCTCGCCCCGCACCCTGGGTGGGCTAACAACGAGCAGGACACAGCCGGCCCTAGAGGGCAGACTCCCGGGGGACCGTCCTGCCTCGCTGGAGGTGGACAGGAGGGCCCTGGACCCTGGGGGCTGCAGAGCGCAGCCCACCTGCGCCAGCGTTAGGGCTGGACCTCTGGGCCTGGCTCTGTGGCCAGAGCGAGGCACCCCCTTCTCTAGGCCTCAGTTTCCCCTCTGCAGAGCTAGGGGTTTGCATGCCTGAGGCCCCTCGGAGCGTCTCTGGTTCTCTGACAGCTTGTCCGGCAGCAGATTTCACCCAAGGAGAACCTTGGGTCTGATGAGTCAGTCACTCGAGGGCGGGGGGCAGAGTAAGGGCTGCAAGCCCAACCCCGTGATCGAGTGCAGAACGCGCTCCTCGTTCCTGAGTCCACGTTCTGCCATTTCCTGCTGCTGTGCGTGTGTGTGCGCGTGCGTGTGTGTGCATGTGCGTGCATGCATGCATGCATGTGCGTGCATGCACATATGTGCGTGCATGCATGCATGTGCGCGTGTGCATGAGCGTGTGTGCATGCATGTGTGCCTGTGCATATGAGCGTGTGTGTGCAACCTCTTCCTGGGTCTGATGAGTCAGTCACTCGAGGGCAGGGGGCAGAGTAAGGGCTACAAGCCAAACCCTGTGATCGAGTGCAGAACGCGCTCCTCGTTCCCGAGTCCACGTTCTGCCATTTCCTGCTGCTGCTGTGCGTGTGCGCGTGTGCATGTGCATGTGTGCGTGCATGCGGGTATGTGCATGTGTGTGCATGCGTAACTGTGCATGCATGTGTGCGTGGTGTGTGTGTGCATGAGCGCATGTGTACATGTGCGTGTGTGCATGTGCGTGCATGTGTGCATGTGTGCGTGTGTGTGTGTTTGGAGGGGAAGCCTCTCGTTTGGAGACCCTTAGTGCCCAGGGTTAAACTGAAGTGCTCTCACGCCCCAGAGGCTGGGAGGTGCTGGCGAGGAGTCCTCGCCAGGCCAGCCCCCGGCTGCACGTCTGTGAATGTCAAGGCCAAGCCATCCCAGCTGCCAGTCGGGCTGTGTGCCCGGTGCTGCTCTAGGTGCCAGGCTGCATTGGCACCCTCTCCAGATGAAGAAACTGAGGCAGGAATGGGGGCTCCGTGCTGAAGCCCCCCAGTTCCCCCGTGGCAGAGCCTGTGGGCCTCACCCTCTGCCTGAGCCCCCAGCCGCCATCCAGGGGTTCCCAGGGGGGCTGGTGCTGGCGTGGGGCCCCTCCCCGCTCAGGCGCAAGGACGAGCTTCTCACCGTTTGTCTGTTCGCGCTGACACTTGGTTCATCTCACTATTTGCGATAAAGTTTCTGATTTCAGAGAAATAGGAGTCTTCCTTCTCGTCCAAAAGTGCGTGGGTGTCCGACTCCGAGGTGGGGGAGGAGGCGCTGGTCCCCAGGTGGTTGGTGAGGACTCCAGAGTGCTGGCTCACTGTAGGGACGCAAGCAGCAGAGGGCGCACCTCAGCCGACCCTCCACATGTCTCTCCCACGCCCCCCCCTTACATCCTCCCTCCCCCGCTCCTGACCCCAGCCCTCACGCACGGGGCCCACCTGGCGCGTGCTCGTGCTCGTGCTTCTTGAGGTGCCTGTCCAGGTTGGTCTGCTGCCCGAAGCACCGGTTGCACAGGTGGCACTTGAAGGGCTTCTCCTTGTTGTGGATGTTGCGGACGTGCCGCTGGAGGTTGGAGGAGATGCTGAAGGAGCGGTCGCAGTACTTGCACCTGGAAGGCACGCGCCTCAGAGGAGCGCCCGGCCCCGCCCCCGGCACCTCCCCCCGCCCCAGTGCAGCCCCGCCCCAGGCCTCGCGGGGCCTGTGTCCGGGCGGCGTCCGGAGGCCGCCGGGTCACGGCGAGGCTGTGCTCGAAGCAGCTCGGCTTAGAAAAGCAGGGATGCTCCCCTCCAACCCCTGGGAGGAGGGTCACGTTGGGATGTGCCCTGAGGTGGCAGAGGGGACAGGGGAGGGGGGAGTGCAAGCCTCTGGTGTGCAGCGCCGGCAACCCCTCTCTGTGGTCCAGTCCCCCAGCTGGACGCCCCTGCCCGGCAGGCCCGCGTGGAGGGCGTTGTGCCCCCGGAAGCCACAAGGGGGCAGCATCGCACCGCGGGAGAAGCCGCCCCCGCCTCTCCCGCAGAGAACCCGGCCCGGCGCGGACCCAGGAGAGCCGGGTCTTAGTGGGTCCTTTTCAGGGCCCATCTCGGCTTTCTACTCCATTAAGTGAGGTCGTGGGCCCCGCCCCCAAGAGGCTCTTTAGTGTCCTTAGCACTCCTGAAGGTGGGGGCATCCCCAGCCCTGCCTCGTCTACATGGACTGCAGGTGACCGCACTGTCCCATGGAGGTGGAGGGCAGCTACCTGCGTGTGACCCTCTATGGTCATCCCCATCTGCCAGGATATTCTGACATCTGACTTCATCTGAACGACGAGCTTTATGGCCGGCAAACGGCCACGATGAACACTCTGAGACACCTGGAATGTGACCGGGGTCCCCCTAGGTGTGGGGAAGGGTCATTCTCCCCGTTTACAGAGGGGGGACGAAGAGCCAGGGCCTACTGACACATACGCCGAGAAGCGAGGCAACCCAGCCAGAAGCAGAGAGCGAGTGGGGCCCAGGAGGGGGCTGTCAGGACGGGACCAGTGTGTGTGCACGCGTGTTAGCGTGTGTGTGTGGCATGTGCACACCTGTGGTGCACGCACATCCGTGCACGCACCCGTGCCGCGTGTGCACACTTGTGGTGCACGCACATCCGTGCACGCACCCGTGCCCCGGCCCTCCACAGACACCCCACCGGGGCCTCAGGCGCATGAGCCCTCGGCAGGTGGGGTCCACGCTGGCGTTTTTCCAGCTTCCGCATGCGGTGAGCAGAACCCTGGCTGGCCGGGTCTCGGGAGACAGTCCGCCCGGCCAGTCCCAGTGGGGCTCACGCCGGAGAGTCACGCTCATCCAGCAGGACGTGGCTGGCCGGCGCTGGGACCTGTCCTAAGTGCGGCAGCCTGGCACTCCCACAGGAGGGCCCACCCCACCCCGACTAGGGCTGGCGGCCGCACTCCTATGCAGCATAGTGGTCACGTGGATGCAGATGGCCTGAGGACACTGGGGTCAGGCCAGCAGGGGCTGTGGAAAAGCGACCTCCACGACACTGCTGCCCAGCACGCGAGGCACTTGTGCCTGACGTTTGACACCCAGACCCCGGCCCTGCGCAGGGAGTCTGATGGACCACAACGCTGCCCGGGTCTCGACCGCAGGGACCCTGAGCCGCCCCACCCAGCCCCGGAGATGAGCCTGCCCTGAGAGAGGCGGCGGCTCTGTGCAGCCCCGTCCTGGGAAGCTCAGAGACTCCGAGTCTCTGCCCCTCGGCCTTCGGGACAAAACTCCGAGTTGATGACACAGACGACGGCCGGGGGCTGGTCAGAAAGGACCCCAGGGCTCCACGGCATGATTCCGGGGCTTCATTCGCGCAGTTCCAGAAGCTTCCAAAACCTGCCCAGCCCTCCCCCACAGCGGTGGGCGGGAGCCCCGGTGGCCTGTGCCGGGCTTCTGAACGACCCTCAGCCCCTGGCCTGTGCGACGCTGCTCCTCCTGAGCCGGCTGAGCCACCTCCGCGCCCCGGGGACACCAGGCTTTGGTCACAGCCTGTCTTCTGGCAGCGTCGTGACCTTTAGTGGCCCTGACTTGGACCCGCCATGGGAAGCCCACAGGGGAGGCGCCGCTGTGTGGTCTTTCTCTGCCCGCTCGGTGGGGGAGTCAGGCCCGGGTGGGCAGCGATGCTCGGGGACCCACTGCCCCGGGCCCCCGCCCCCCGCCACAGCGGTCTGGGAAAGAGGCCTTTACACCCCAGGCCCTCCCCCCAGACACACCCCCGGTGGGCCAGGCTCCCACACTACAGCCTGCTCCTCGGGCGGTCACTCAGGAAGGGCCAAGGGCAAGGCCACGCTGGCCCCCTGTGCCCTGCTTGCCCACGGGCCCCCCGGGCCGAGCTGTGCTCGCTGCCCAGCCCCCTCTCCTCGTGTCTTTGGACAGCGGGGCCCTTCGCGAGTCCCCACAGCGGCTGAGCCCTGAGCAGCCAGGACGGGACCCTGCGTGAGAGGTGGGCCGGGCAGGGCTCTGTGAGATGCTGACCCCCACCGGGTGGGGCCCGGGAGGGCTGGGGGCCGTGCCTTCAGCTGGGTCCTGGATGTGGCCCTCCCTGGTGGCCCAGACTGCGCAGTTCGTTTGAAATTTAGGGGAGCAGTGAGCCCGGAGTTCTGCAGGAGCCTGGGAACTGAGTTGTAAAAGAAGCTGACAGGGGTGGCTGAAACTTGCGCTGCTCTGTGTGAGACGGCACCGCGGGGCTCTGACAGGTGGGGACACAGGCGGGGCGGCCACGGTGGGCGGTGCAGCTGAGGGCCTGGGGGGGCCCCTGTGACTGCCTGT